TTGTTTCTTTTGATCACTTGTCTTCTTCTTCTCGTTCCTTTATTGCATCCTTACTTTCTGTTTCCATCCCTAAAACTATTAATGAAGCCTTGTCTCACTCTAGTTGGAGTGTTGTTATGGTAGAAGAGATTGTCGCCTTAAATGGTAATGGTACTAGAGATTTGGTAACTTTGTTTGCAAGAAAGAAAGCTATTGGGTGTAATGGGTGTTTACAATAAAAGTAAATCTAGATGGATCGGTGGCTCGTCTTAAAGCTCGTCTTGTTGCTAAAGGGTATGCTCAAACTTATGGTGTTAATTGTTTTGATACTTTATCTCCAGTAGCTAAACTTACCTCTATTCACTTAATCATCTCTATGACGGCTACTTATAACTGGCTTTTACATCAATTAGATATCGAGAATGCTTTCTACATGGTGACTTTCAAAAGAAAGCTTATATGGAGCAACGACATGGGTTTATTGCCCAGGGGAAGTATAGGAAAGTCTATCATCTTCACAAATCCCTGTATGGCTTTAAACAAAGTCCTCGTACTTGGTTTGGCAGATTTAATGAGGTAGTTCAGGGGTTTGGGATGAAAAAGAGTAAATGTGATCACTCAGTGTTTTATAAATAGTCTGACGCTATCATAATCTTCCTAGTTGTGTACATTGATGATATTGTTATTACTTAGAGTGACATTCCAGGTATTTCCTCTCCCAAATCCTTTCTTCATACCAAGTTTCAAACAAAAGATTAGAGGGTGTTGAACTATTTTTTAGGTGTTGAGGTGACAAGTAGTAAGAAAGGTACCTTCCTGTCTTAAAAGAAATATGTCCTTTGCTTATTGGCAGAGACATGAAAATTGGGTGCTAAACTATGTAGTGCACCAATGACTCTTAATTTGCAGCTTATAAAAAAAAAATGGTGAATTCTTTAAAGATCCTAAAAAAGTATAAAAGACTGGTTGAAAAATTGAATTATCTTATAGTGACTCATCCTGATATTGCATACTCTGTTAGTGTTGTAAGTCAATTTATGACTTCTCTAACAGTTAATCATTCAGCAGCTTTAAAACAAACCCTATGTTATTTGAAAGAGGCTCTAAGACGTGGTCTATTTTATGAAAATCATGGGTACACTAGTATTGAATGTTTTTCAGATGCAGATTAGGCGGGATCCAAGATTGACAGGAGATCCACTATAGGATATTGTGTTTTTATTGGAGGGAATTTGGTTTTATGGAGAAGTAAGAAGTAGAATGTAGTATCTCGGTATAGCGTAAAATCAGAATACAGAGCTATGACACAATATGTGTGCGAAATAGTATGGATTTATTAGCTATTAAATGAAGTTGGTCTTAATAAGTATTCATTGCCAACAAAGTTGTAGTGTGGTAATCAAGCTACTTTTCATATTGCCTCTAATCTGGTGTTTCATGAACGAATTAAACATATTGAAATTGATTGTCATTTTGTTTGTGAAAAGATTCAGCAAAAGTTCATATTTACAGGATATGTTAAAACTAAAGACCAACAAGGAGATATCTTCACAAAAGATCTAAATGGAGCTCGAGTTGATTATATTTGTAAGAAGTTGAGCATGATTAACATCTATGCTCCAACTTGAGGGGGAGTGTTATAGACTAGGAAGTTAATCTGTAAATAATGTATTTATAGGAATTAGGAATTAGCACAATTATAGAGATTTTATTAATTAGCACAATTTTAGGAATTTTATTCTTTTCCTATTTTGGAGGGTTTATGCTGTATATATACTGTATTATGAATGAATGAGTAGAGTTTTTTCTTCAATATTCACAGGATATAAACTAACAAGTGGCATTTTGACCCAAAGTAAAGTAGGAAAAGAACTTGATTGAACCAAAATGGCAATTAGTCATTCATTAGTTATAAGATCTTATTTGACTCAAAATAAAAATCTAAGAACTTAATTGAATACAATAAAAGAATAATAACTTATTTAATTTTTTTTAATAGTTTAGAAGATTATTTGAGTATTATGCTTATTTGTTAACTCCTATCCTCTTTACTAAAGGGAGGGGAAAATGATGGCAAATTGGCTTTGACAAAAGAACAAAGGATTCATCTCACAAAGGTAGGTTATTTGTCCCCAAATTTGGCAAATTTGTACACAAAATGATAATATGACACAAATATAACATAGAATTAAGCGGGTTTCAATTTAGAGTAATTGTGTTTTATGTTTTAATTGTATTAACATGGTTAAAATATGAACATTTTTTATCTTAAACATGTCAAACCCACTTAACCTACTCAAAACTTATTTATTTAATCGTGTTATCATGTATTCATATAATCCGTGACTCGTTTATTACTCATTTGATAATCATGTAAACATGCTTAAGTGACACATTTGTAACTCAATTAAATACTTTCTTTTATTATAATTGACGATGATGGTGGTTGCTTTAATTATACTTGATAGGTATTATTGTTTTATTATAATTGTTTTTATGATTATCTGTTTTAAATGAATAATGAAGTTATATTTCATTTTAAATTGTATGAATTTTAAGCTAATTATGTTAATTATTTAAATAGATTATAAATTGTATTGAGTTATATACAATTTAACTTAATGCATTTAATAAATGTGTTGAAAATATCGTGTCATTTTACACGCTAAATAAATGTATCCTTGTTCATGTTTGAGATCTTAACATGTTTAATTAATTGTGTCCAATACATGTTCATTTATGTAACTGTTAATACTCTATATTTATACAATATGGTTAAAATACACAAACACAAATTGATAGGTCTATCTGCCCTTGCCATGAAGTGTAAAACATCTCAATTGAGTTGGATGCTTGACTTTTTGATACTTTTCAATATCAACTGCTTTACCCTAATAAAAAAAAAAAGAAAGAAAGAAACAGAAAGATAATTCCAATATAGTGGTCTTTTCTTTTTACATATAGAATCAAGAATTATCTTTTATGAAAAAAAAAGGGGGAAAGAATAATCTTATAGGATTGTTTTCTATTCTAGAACCATTTTTCAATATCTGGTTTTTTAAATTGTTAAAATCTAAAAATGTTCTTCAAGATATTTTAAAATGACATTTTGATCCCTCTTATTTTAAAATGATAGTTTTGATTATTTAGTTACTAACACCGTTAGTCAACAATTAAAAAAATTAGACTTAATACTACATATATATTTTAGGATATAAATGCCTCTTATATTATTTTTTTTAATATTTAAGCATATTCACTTTCTTTTTTGAAAAAAAATCTGCTTATTTCTCCTTCAAAAACCTTAATCTGAAAAAAAAATCTAAAAAATTCTGATTTGAAAGTCTGAAAATTTGAAGTTGTATCTACTTTGAAAATCGTAAACTTCTTTCTTGAGGTAAAGTCTACTGTCACCACACTCTTTATTTCTTCAACAGTTTAAGATATTTTTTTTATTGAAAAAAAATGTATTAAAAGTTAATCTTTTGTCTAAGGATATTTCAAATTTGATGGTTAGGAGATTGATTTCTTACTCATGATTACGAATTTTGTTCAAAATTTTTACCTAAAATTTGTTTATGATATTAGGGTTTAAGGTGATGTAAAAAGATTTTGATTTAATTATTATATATAAAAAATTTTAAATTTTTTACTTCTCTGTCAAATATTGAATTTTATTAAGTATCAAAGTGAATTTAATTAAGTTTTGGAAAGGAAGATGAGTAGATATTTTGTAAGAAGGCATTAGTAATGTCTTAAAATATTTATTTAATATTAAGCATAATTTTTTTAACTATTGACTATCAAGATTAATAATTAAAACACAAAAAACATTATTTTCAAACAAGAAGGTTCAATGTGTACTTTTTAAAATTTTTCCCTTTTTAGATATGGAAACAAATAAAAATGAAATCTTTAAGTTACCATTTTTTTTATTTAGCGAAGTAACCCGTGCAAGTGTTTTTTCCCTTTCATGTAATGTTAGTTGAGCTATGCAAATAAATTTGTTGGGTGATAGGATAGGGTAATGGGTTCGGTTCTCAAAAGCAAAAAGGCATCCCACAAGGCGACAACCACAATGGCTTTGGGCAACCAACCCGTCGAATGGATGACGCCAGCAACTTGAAAATTCTGAAACTCTGCACGTACCTTCAATCTAACGCAATGGACCTTTCTTGGGTTTAGACTGAAACTCAATCTAACCCATGAAGTGGCCTGACTCTACTGAACAGGAACCAAACATCACCCTATAATTACTATAACGTGACATTTCATACTTTACAATATAATGTGATTACAGTTAATGTAATTTCAAATAATATAATTATAAAAAAAATAATATTACAGTGTTTGGTATATAAATAAAATAATAATTAAAATGTAAAGAATATAACATTACAGTGTTTGGTTTACAAGTACTTTATTGAAAATGTAATGTTAATTTTTAAAATTATCTCTAATTATTAAAATATAAGTTTAATATATTTATATTTTTTATTATTAATTTTTATATAATATCATTTCTTAAATATATTTTTAATGTCATATATTTTATTTTTATTTATTATTATAATATTTTATATTTTATTTTTAATATATTTATATTTTATTATTAATTTTTATATAATATCATATCTTCAATATATTTTTAATATCATATATTTTATTTTTATTTATTATTATAATCTTATATATTTTATTTTTATTTCTTTAATATATTTTTTATATTATATATTTTATTTTAATTTATTTTACCTATATTATATAAATGTTAATTTTTTATATTTTATTTTATTTTAATTTTTTATTCTTATATTATATATTTTATTTTAATATTTTTTATTTTAATTATAACATTATAAAATATTTATAATAAGATAATAAAGTTGAACGGTAAAATTATCTTTAAGAATATTGCAGAATGTAAAATGTAATATAATTGTATTGATTTTGGACTGCAATCACATTACATCCTTTGGCTGTAATATGATTATATTGCAATCTTAAATTGCGGTGGTCTGTTGCAAAATAAACACTATAATATAATTTAATTAGACACATTGCAGGGAATGTGCTCCCACTTCTCTCGTACCAAACGCAACCTAAATGTTTACAACTACGCAATCATGACAAACCACATTATAAGTCTATTGATCATCATAAACCATATTTAAGTTGAGAGACTTCTTTGTTTCCTCAAAACTCAAATTAATCAACACATTTTCATCCCCCAAAACGCCCTTTATTAAAGACCAATTAAGGCATTAACTTTAATACTACAAACTAACACTTTTTAGAGCCATACCTCTCAACCCTCTCATCAATCCACTCCCTCATATCCTTCAACACAAGATCAGCGTTCTCATCAGGCTCCCCTTGTATCAACGAATGGTACATCCCATCATACAGCTTCAAGCTCTTGTCCGTACTGGATGCCTTCTCATACAACAACTTGGATGATGTTGGGCAGGTGACTCCATCACTTGTCCCGTGGACTGTCAAAAACGGTGCCTTTACCTTGGAGAAATTATCCTGTATGTACTGGCACACCCTAGCAAGCTCTCTCATGGTCCCAACCCTCGGCGGCCCCGTGTATCTCCTTGGGTTTGATGCTATGATCTTCAGCTTTTCTGGGTCCTTGATTGCCTTGCCAACCATCTTGTTATCAGGCATTGTTGCCCATGTGTCGGCTAGTCCAAAGAGCAGACCATACATGAACAACCGGACCTTACTCGGTTTCATGTTCTCAGGCATGACAAAGAGTGGGGCTGAGAAAATCAGGCCTGTCCAAGTGTCGGGCTCTGATTGGAAGTACATGAGCATTGTTGCTGCTCCACCCATGGACTCACCAAAGAGGAATGCAGGTAAGTCTTTGTATTCCTCACTGTAGCGGACGTGCTTGAAGAATGATAAGGATGTAGCAGCAACTTTCTCCATGTCACCTACATTGCATACAATCCTTCTAAGAATTAACCGTTTGTTATGTGATTAGTAACTCTCTTGTTTTCTTTTCCCCTTTATTAGATTAGGCACTACTACAATAGAAAACAGATGATTAGTCCTTTAATTCCAATGGAAGGTGAACAATTTTTGTCTCCTCATGCACAAGTGATCATCATTGCAGGCATTTCAATAAGCAATCAAAAGTTCATCCCATAACAAGTTTCAATGTTTTCTAATAACATGCTAAACAAATTCGAAATAAAGAGGGGAATGACCATTGATACTACAAATGGATGGCAAGTTCATAGATTGATTATTAAGAGTTTGGAAGTTAATATGAAGGTACTTATGAAGGCTAACAATTGCCTTCGGTAAGAACAATTGCCGCCATGGATTTATTAGTAAACTCTTTCATGTGCATTATACAAATATTATTATTACAAGTAATAATGACTTTACACATTGTCGATGACCATTAACAGAAATCATAATGCCTTCTTATTACTCCATTAAATTAAATAAATGCATATGTAAATAAAATTTAATGCAGTTTTTTTATTCTAAACAATAAAAAGATAAATAACCTTAAATTATAGTATTTTCCCCCAAAGTTTTAATCTAGCTAGCTCCTTCATCGCTTGAGCAGGCAGGGTCAAAAAGAACAACAACATTAGATAACTTAGCAAAAAAAAAGGTTATCAACGATCATCTATATATTTCAATAACGGAAAAGAAGTACATCTCAAAGTACCTAAGTAGCAACGCAGACCATCTGATCTGCCATGTCCGAGAAGATCAGCAGCAAAAACAGCGTAACCCCAGGTTGTAAAGTTGATGCAAATCTTCTGGAACAGCCAACCGGTATCCGATCCATAGCCGTGGGTCATGTAGACAGTGGCCTTGACTTTTTGATCCAACGGCAGGAAGCTCTGGGTGAAGAGTTTCCCGTTAGGAGTGTCGAAGTAAGACTTGCTGTTTCGGACACCCTGCGACGTGTAATACTCTTCCTCCGGCATGTTCCCCCAGAAATTCACTGGCTTTTCGCCTTCCATTGCGCGCCGTATGGTTCCGGAAAGGCAGCGGGAATTGGCGTGAGTATATTTCGAGAGAAGAAGGAAATACCATAAAAAACAAACCAAAAAGGTGTTGCAAAGAAACGCTTCAAGAGAGACGTTGCTGCTGGGTTGTTGAAATGGAACAGAGGGAAGAACAGAGAGCAGAGGAAGGCGGACTTGCAAGAGAGAGAAGGTGGGATTATAGGCTACGGGTACCGATATGTGGGGAGAGACAAAGTGGCCTTCACCAACCAAGTCATCGAGGGAGTCGGTAAAGAGTTGGTGGAGTCACCCCTTTTCTAATTGGGCTTTCCACGGTACGGGGTAGGTTAGGATATGGACAAAATCTTTTTATTGGTTTATATCTAATTTTCGTACGTAAAGTTTGAGAAAAAAATTTTAAAAAAAATACACAACAACGATAAATCAATAGGTATTTTATAATTAAATATTTTATATTAAATTTGATAATTTTAGATATAATATAATAATATAATATAAAAATTTGATAAATCATATTTTATGTTCTAAACTTATCGACAAAATTAATATATTTTATTAATTATATTAATCGTGTTATTATACATAAATAACATAACAAATTTTAATTATGAATTTTATTAGTATGATAATAAATTTTATAGATATTATTTATGTTAAATTTTATTATATTTGATACTATTATTATCTTGTTATAATTATTTTTATAATTATTGATTTTAAATTTGAATAATAAAATTATATTTAATTATAAATATTTCAAGTTAAACGTATTAATTGTGTTAGAAAAAAAAATTATGTTAATTATAATTATTTAATCATATTTATTAATCATGCTGTATGGTATAAAAATTTTTAACATTTTTAATAAATATGTTAGTCATGTTATGTTATACGGTTATTAAATTATCTATTTACATATTTCAGATATTAATATCAATAATTATTTATGTATTCATATTTAATTTTATTATATTTTATATTTTAATTATATTAATATGATAAAAATATGAAAATATGAATTGATATATCTATTTTATTAAATTAAGTAAAATTAAGATATGTTATTACTTTTTTCCGCATATTGTATTTCATTCGTTGAATTTGGAAAATTTGACTTGAATGAGAGCAGCCAATTACGTATATATTTAGGGCACCGCGAGATTGGTTATTGACAGTGATATATTCCCACCCTTGGTAGGTAGGAGGCCCCACTCTCACCAACCGCCGCTCGTTGGAAGCAATGGCGCGGCATTAGGACTTGATCCTTGCCTTGGCGTTAATACGGATTTGGAGAAGGGCCTTAAACCAACGTTGGGCCTTGTACCCGGTAAGTCACAATTACCAAACGGCTCTAAAGCTACCCTTCTTTTGGACTCATTGGTCGACATTGCCCATGTGTGAAAGGTCTCAAAGTGGGCCAACGTTGTCTAATTAAAACAATCGTTTCATGGGCTTGAGATGTAGTTAAGCCAGGGACTCTATTCCAGATTTCTAGGCACTCATTGGGCCTTGAGCCTTCGAGAACATTTATGGCATGTTTGGTTGGAAGAATACTCAATTCTCCCTCCTATTTTTTAAAGGATTTTCTCCATCCATTTGTTTGTTTTTTAAGAAGGAATAGTCATTTCAAAGAATGATTATTCCTCAAAAATTTACAAAACTTCAGAATAAGTAGCACCACCTTTTCTTATATAATTAATTATTCCACACCTATAAAAATTGAGTCCAAAACATTTTGGACTAAAATGTTTCTAGTCACTTTTAAAAATTACGAATTTAATCTTATAAAATTAATATTTTAAATTAAAAATTTTAAAAATTATTAATATTTTAATTATAATAATTAAATTATAAATAAATGATTAATATTATGAAATATTAATTTTTAAATTATTAAGTGAAAATATAAATTAAAAAGTAAAAAATGAAAATAAAGAAAAAAATCATAAGAATATTTTAACAACAAATTATTAAATTATTAAAATTTTAAAGTTTGAATGAAAATAAAAATTAAATGATTAAAAAAAATTTTACTAATTTTTGTCTTTTGGTATAAATTGCACTAAATTATATAAAGAGCATTTTTTTTTATGAAAATAAATCTTATTATAATAAAGAGTTTAAGTTTTTAATTATATGTTATAAAAATATTTTAAATTTAAAAATTAATTAAAAGTGTTAATATTTTAGTCATAATTATATTTAAATTAAAAATAAAAATTAATATTTAAATTATTAATATTTTGGATAAATTATAAATTATTAATATTTTTAAAAAATAAAATAAAAATAAATAGTCATATATTATAATAAAAAGTATTGTTGCCTTTTTATCACTTACTCTTTTGTTATTCCAAAATTACTTTTACAAACCAAAGATGATAATAAGTTATAATATCAATTTTTACTTAATTACATTCCAGCAATCAAATAACGTTCATTCTATTTCTATCTTATTCCATTTTTGTATAATATTTATTATATTATACGAACTAAAAACGTAGTCTTAGTATAATTTAATGAGCAGTCTTTCTTTTGGTTAAAACAATTCTTGTCAAATTCAAAACTTATTTAGAAACGAATTAAGAACAATTCTATCAAAGTCTTGGTTGGGTAAGCCCTTCATGTGTTCTCACAGCACTAGACGCTAGAGCCATCAGCCATGGTTGGCCCCCGTAAGCTTCAGGATACAAGCAATGCAAGTAGGTTCATTGTAACCATTCACCTTGCAAACAAGCATAATATAATTAAATTACTCCGTCGGCCTGCTTTGTGCCAAACTCACCATTGGACCAATAATCCCAAAGTATCCAACCGGCAAAGCTCAATGGAGCTACACAAAAAGAATTCTTTGTTTATGCATTTAAAGTTACTTAGTCAGCATTTGAAACATTTGAATTGTTTATGCATTACACACGACTTGCTCTTATGAATACTGGTGATCATCCAAATGGTTAGGCAGAAAATTTTATTATTATTATTATTATTATATGATCCAAACCTTTAACTCTAAATTAATATAAATTTCATTCATATTTTAACTTTCATTCTTAAGTCATTGAATGCCCAAACTACACAAAGAAAGTTATTTAAAAATAAAGACTTCTCGTCATGTTAATATAAAGCAATAGCATGAAAGCTTTTTAACCTAAGAATATAGGGTTCAAATCCTAATTGGCATATTTTATTATTTAATTCCAAAGAAATGTATGCCTCTTTTTAATTCCATTCCCTTTGTATGCTCTTGTTTATAGTCCCTACACTCCCTACCGAATTGCATGGAGCCAGTGCCTTGGGGTGGTAGGTGAGGAAGTAAAGAGGGATGGGGAGGAAGGAAGTCCATCTATTATACACCACAACTTTCTTTTAGAGTTTAGACACCTACCCTACATTTGAAGGATGACCCATTCCTTTCCAACATTCCTTCTCAACTTCCTTGTGTAGTAAAACTCATTAAATTACTAACAATAACATTACCTTTGATTTTATTTATTTCAAATCCAACCAAGCAAGCAACAAATACGCCTCGACAACCTAATTCCAATGGACAAAGTTGCTTTCCATCACTTCAAACCAACTCCTTTAGGAGAGGGAAGAGGGGAAATCCTACGGTGTAAGGTTTTCCTTGGATGATTCAACAATTCCTTGCAAGTCTTCTTCATTTTCTTTCAGGTGGGAACTAATGGAACCGTGAGAAAGACTGAAAATGACGCAACAAAAAAGAAGATGTCTATAAAGGAGAATAAAAACCAAGTTCAAGCGTTCATAATCAAGCTTTAATGCTTTACCAAGATGATGATGATCATATCTTTTCATAGATTTCGTTGTTGATGGTGATACCACCTCTCTGTTGATTGAAACCACTCATTATGGGAATTCTTTTTTAATTCCTAATAATTAAAACTGTCACCATCAGATAAAAGATTTCTCTACATCGACTGTGATTAGACTGAATATGGAGAAATAGTTAGTTTTCAAAGATTATTTCGGGTAATTTCATTACTTTGCCCACAATTTACCCTTTCAAATTATGTTGTTTTCACTTGGATTCTATGTGTCGCATTTCCACAGATCAGCTCCATATCATGTGTATTACATTAATTTTAACATCCCCTTGAGTCTCAATATACACTATTCTTCCTTGTATGGTCACCTCTAAAGACGGCTTCCGTAAAATTGATTTGTGATGCTAAATATGGAAGCCCTTTTCCTTTTGGGTTTCCTATGTTTAGGTCTTTTAGGATGATTTACTCATTAATAATTTTTATTATTGTTCTTTTATTTTTATTTTGGATATTCATAATATAAATGTTAATACTTATTTTTTTCGTTGATATTTGAACAAAAAAAATACAGAAATAATATTTAAAAAAATTTATAAAAAAATTAAAAATTTAAATAAAATTTTTTTTATTACGTTTAATTAAATTTTTATATTGTTATTTTAAATCAAATAAATTTTTATAATTAATAATTAATTAATTGTTATTTTAATCAAAATATCATGACTTGACATATTAATATGTCAAAATAAATAATGATAAAATATGATGATGTAATCATGTGACATTTTCAACTTTCATATCAATATCATATCAACACCAAATAAATATAAAATAATAAATAATTTTTTGACTACTGAAAATTAATCAATTATTAGTTATAGGAAACTATATAATCTTAAATAAAAGTACAGAAAATTAGTTTAATATAATAAAAAATAAAAAAAATAAATTTTTTTAAATAATTTGAGAGTTTTTTAAAATATTATGTCAAAAATATATGTATTTCTCAAGGTGGGATACTTCTTCTTAAAAAAAAAAAAAAATCTGATATGCTTTGAGGCATTCTTTGATAATAACTAACAATAGTATTATTTATTTAGTTTCTATATGAATGATCCAGCGGTCAACAATAAGGTGCTTTTGATGATTCAAATTCTCAAATAGAACGGCTATCTTATGTAAACATGTTAGAATTTACAAGCATAATTTGACAAAATTTCGTTATCATTAAGCCTCCTCGTGATGCTGAGTTAAGCATGAGTTTAGAAATACTGATATATATAGAAAGTACCATTCAAGGCAGGTGGCTATATAGCATTGAGAAAGACGAAGATTCTCACGTCAAATTAGAAGATTAAAAAGTATGATTAACGATTTAAGCCTGCCTTTGTTTCGGTCATATCTAGCTTGGACCCTAGCTATTAAGAATATTATTAGTTTATTAGCATGCTAAACAATTATATAATAATAAAAATAAAAAAAATTGCGTGTAT